CCAGCGATCGCTGGCACCACAGACAGGGCTGGAGTCAGGCTGGGCTCAGCCCCTGTAGGGCAGAGAGGAGCCCGGGTGCAGCTCTGGCTGGGCGGCCAGAATCAGTGCGGTTCTGGCAGCTGAATCCTGGCTGGACTTAGGGCTCCAGCCTCCCTGGCCCCTGCATCTGCTCAGAGCCCTGGTGTCTGTCAGATCCAGGCTAGTGGGCTGTCCGGGGATTGGAGGGAGTGAGAACCTGCCTCCCTAGCTCAGCCCAGCCCCAGGGTTTCCTCATGGGTGGAGTGGGGGGATTTCAGCAGAAGGTGAAGCCGGCTCTGTGCCCCCTCCCCTCAACTTCCCTGCCCTGGTGGCAGGGATCTGTCTGCCCTCCCGCTGCAGCTCCCTCTCCCTCCTGGCCTTGCTGTGCTCTGAGAAGAGGCTGCTGGGCAGGCAGTGACCTTACAGCTGATGCCAGAGCTCAAAAAAAGAAGACTGGGGAGGGTGAAGGGTTAATACATATCTGATTCCTTCACCCAATAACAAAGGCCGAAGTCTCTAGAAATCCCCTGCTGCCTGGGGCTCTGTGGGGTGATGGAGCAGCACAGAGCTAGGGTCTAATACAGCTGTTTGCTTATATTGCATTTGTAAGGGTTCCCTGCTGCCCTACAAAGGCAAACTGGACCACTGGATCGGGCTCTGGAAGGACGTGGGCCAGGTCTGGAAATGGGCCAACGGGACCGAGTTTGACCATCGGTGAGTCTGTTTCTCTGTGTTGGGTCAGAGGCGTTGCAAATGCCCCACTGGCTGCTTTAACTTCCCCTCCTGACGGGAGTGGGGCCTGGTACTGGTGCAGGGAGTGGGATCTGGAGGGACTGTGAGTGCAGCAGCTCCCTTCCCTCACTTGAGATGTCACCCCTGGACTCTGCGTGGCACACACTGACTCTAGCTCCAATTGCCTCTGGGTTACAGGTTTCAAATACAAGGTGGAGCAGACTGCGCTTTTCTGGATGAAGACCTCACAGTCAGCAGCTCCAGCTGCAGCACACAGAGAAAATGGATCTGCTGTAAACTTGATGCCCCTACGAAGGAAGAGGAGCATGCGGTGGGAGGGGACTCGTGAACTCATGGGGATCACAGATCAGACATGGCAAAGCCTGGTTCTGGTCCCCTCCATGGCCCTATATGCTGCAACCTATTTACTTGTTTCGTAGGGCGTGGCTATACTTGAAGATGTAGAGCGCTGTAAGTTAAACCAGCCTTCAGAGAGCCCAGTATGCAAAGCGCTGCAGTGTGTCCACACTGTCAGCTGTGTGCGCACTGGTGTGGTCACATTTGCGGCACTTGCAGCGGCATTGGGAGCAGTGCATTATGGGCAGCTATCCCACAGAGCACCTCTTCCCATTCTGGTGCTGTGTCTTGTGGGAAGGGGGCGGGAGGTGCAGGGCATTCTAGTCCTGTCCCAGACGCCTCGTGATGCATCACTTCACATCCCAGCAATCCCTGTGCTTCTGTCCACATTTGGCGCGATCTTTCAACGTTTTTTGTACTGCGCGCTCTGTCTTCCCTTTCGGTCCGCAGGAATGGAGCCCGAACTGCTGAGGAATATGCTGACGAGTCTCACTGGCACATCACGTTTGGCAGTTGAGTTACTCCTTAAGATACAAAGTGACAGTGAGGAGTCCGATGATGATATCGACTCGTGTAACACAACACGAGATTGCTTGTGGCATTCACAGACATGCTCACCACTGTGGAACGCCGCTTTTGGGCTCGGGAAACAAGCACTGAGTGGTGGGATCACATCGTCATGCAAGTCTGGGATGACAAGCAGTGGCTGCAGAACTTTCGGATGAGAAAAGCCACTTTCATGGGACTGTGTGATGAGCTCGCCTCCACCCTGCGGCTCAAGGACACGAGATTGAGAGATGCCCTGCTGTTGGAGAAGTGGGTGGCTATTGCAATTTGGAAGCTGGCAACTCCAGACAGCTACCCATTGGTCGCTAACCAATTTGGAGTGGGAAAATCGACCGTTAGAATTGTGTTGATGCAAGTTTGCCGGGCCATTAATCACATCCTGCTCGGAAGAACCGTGACTCTGGGTAACGTGCACGACATTGTGGATGGCTTTGCACAAATGGGTTTCCTTAACTGCGGAGGGACGATAGATGTGACGCATATTCCAATTCTGGCACTAGCCCACCTAGTCTCAGAGTACGTTAATCGGAAGGGGTATTTCTCTACGGTTCTCCAGGCACTCGTGGATCACCGTGGGCGCTTCATTGACATTAACGCAGGCTGGCCCGGAAAGGTGCATGGCGCATGCATCTTTTGGAACACAGACCTGTTCAGGAAGCTGCAAACCAGTCAGTGCGCTTTACGTGCCTTGCCAGTGTGGACACGTCGTGAGTTAGAGCGCATGGGGCTGCTTTAATGCACTCTAACTCATAAGTGTAGCTGAGCCCTCAGTCTGCTTCCAGGATTTTCTCCAGTCCCAGTTGTCAGTTATCCTAATGAAGTAAAGGAAATCAGAGTTCAAGAATTCTTTGAGGGGGTCAACAAGCATGTGGACAAAAGGGATCCAGTGGATATAGTGTACTTAGATTTTCAGAAAGCCTTTGACAAGGTCCCTCACCAAAGGCTCTTAAGCAAAATAAGCAGTCATGGGATAAGAGGGAAGGTCCTCTCATGGATTGTTAACTGGTTAAAAGATAGGAAACAAAGGGTAGGTATAAATGGTCAGTTTTCAGAATGGAGAGAGATAAATAGTGGTGTCCCCCAGGGGTCTGTTCTGGGACCAGTCCTATTCAACATATTCCTAAATGATCTGGAAAAAGGGGTAAACAGTGAGGTGGCAAAATTTGCAGATGATACAAAACTACTCAAGATAGTTAAGTCCCAGGCACACTGTGAAGAGCTACAAAAGGATCTCACAAAACTGGGTGACGGGGCTACAAAATGGCAGATGAAATTTAATATTTATAAATGCAAAGTAATGCACATTGGAAAACATAATCCCAACTATACATATAAAATGATGGGGTCTAAATTTGCTGTTACCACTCAAGAAAGAGATCTTGGAGTCATTGTGGATAGTTCTCTTAAAAACCTCCACTCGATGTGCAGCAGCAGTCAAAAAACCAAACACAATGTTGGGAATAATTAAGAAAGGGATAGATAATAGGACAGAAAAGATCATATTGTCGGACTGTCCACATCTTGAATACTGCGTGCAGAAGTGGTTGCCCCATCTCAAAAAAGATATATTGGAATTGGGCAACTGGGAGGCTCCTCCTCACCCACTGCCCACAGCTCCACCCCTTTCTATCTCTTCCCCAGGGATGGAGTTGCCCCTGTTCCACCCAGGGTCTCCCCCATTCTGTCCCCCCACTGCAGCCCCACAACCCCTTTTGCTCCTTTCTCTCTCTTCAGGCCCCAACATTGGAGAAGCTCTGTCCCCAAGCAGAGGGCTCTGTGTTGCCCTGGCTTCCCAGCACCGCCCCCCGCAGCTCCCATTGGCCAGGAATGGGGAACCGTGGCGAATAGAAGCTTCGGGGGAGGTACCTGGAGGAGTGGCAAGCAACGCGCGGAGGCCTGTGTCCTCCCTCCCTCAGGGGCCACAGGGACTTGGTTCCAGCCGCTTCCCGGAGCGGGGCGGGGCCAGGGCAGGCTTGTAGAACTGATGAATGAAATTGTTTTTAATTGTTTACTTTATAAGTAAAGTTACATTAATAAAGTTTTATGAATGAAACAATATTCATTCATAAAACCAGTTACCCCAATAACTGGCTAATTAACAGTTAAGATGCTTGTTAAGAGCCATAGCTGTTCAGTCAGCTGCCTTTGTAAGTTTTACTATTAATTCAATTTCTGCTTAAATCACTAAGACTTGCACTGTTTTAGTATTGTAATTTTTGTTTGCCATCCATTAGACTTGTCTATATTGTAACTTTTGTTCACTGTTTGCCATATTGTAATTCAAACCCCATTTTAAAACGCTTACTCCATTTTGTAAGGGCTTGCTGCAACCTTCATTTTTGCAAACCCTGCTGTAATCTTATTAGTTTAGTTTAGATGTGTAAATGAGGTATGTATGGATGATGGAATCAACCTCCAGCCCCAGCCTGTCCTGATGAAATAGAGTTCAAACACCAACGGCTGAAGATGCACACAAGAGCCCTAACAAAGTAAGAAGAATCCACCCTAAAAAGAAAAGGTACAATAGAAGGAAGATCAAAGCCCGGTCCCAGGCTGAAAGTCATGTCTGCAATTGACAGGTGATTAATCACCAAACCTGGAGGCAGTGTGACACAGCAAGACCTATAGACTCTGGATTCAAACTAAAGCCTACAAAAAGGATGGGTGCGATGGAAAACTTTGGAGGAGGGTAACATTCTGCTGCCAACATGGAAGGGCATCGGTGCGCGCCCAACAGAGACCCAGCTCGTCCTTGTGCCCGGCTTTCCTGGCCAGTTAGCCGCCACAAGCTACAAACCCAAGCTGCAAACTCAAGCCACAGACTCAAGCAGGACTGGTAACTATGCAGCAGCTGCAGAACATCTGGGGTGTGTGTGTGTGTGTGTGTGTGTATGTATATATGTATATATATATGTATATGTATATAAAAAAATATTAGGTATAGTGTGTGTGTGTATAAGGATTAAGATATTAGATATTAGTCATAAATCAAATTGTTATCATAATAAATGTGGCATCTTTGTCTTGACCCCTAAAATGATCCTGTATAAGTTTGTGGGACAACAGGCTGCCTGCCCTGGCCCCAGTGTGCACTGCTGCCACCCTGGAGCCGCTCTAGGTAAGCGGCTCTGGGCCAGAGCCCGAAGCCCCCCTGCCCCCCAACTCCCTGCCCTGAGCCCCCTGCCTACTGCACCCGAACTCCATACCCTGAGCCCCCTGCCTGAACCCCAACCCTCTGCCACACCCTGCATTCCCCCCTGCCCCCCAACTTCCTGCCCTGAGCCCCTGCCACACACCACCTGCTCCCTCTGGGGGCAGGGAGGGGGCGGAATTGGGGAGGGGACTTCGGGGAAGGGGTGGGAAGAGGTGGGGCCTCATGGAAGGGGTGGAGTGGGGGCAGCGAGGGGGGGGTCAGTGTTGCGGCCCTTGAGCTAATGAACTAGTCCTCGTGTGGCCCTTGTGGTCATTTGAGTTTGAAACCCCTGGTTGATATGTATAGTTCAGGATCAGGCGCTAGGGCTTCTCCTGCCCTGTCTGGCACTTCTGCCAAAGAGCTGGGTCAGGTGCAGGGCTTTCCCTGTCCTGTGGCTTCTGTCGGGGATGAGAGCCACTGGGTGGGCTCCTCAGCCCTGCGCCGCTGCCATGGAGCGGGGTTGGGGTGCGAGGGATTGCCTGGCAGCCGGGACTCCATGCTTCCACCACAGGGCAGTGGAATTTTTTCAAGGTGCCCCCCCCCACACACATACACCTGGTTACCTTCTGCTAACATCCCGCCTGGGTGTCTCTTTATAGTAGCAAACACCTCCCTGATTCCAGGCTGATGTGGGGAGCTGGTGTTTAGGTTATGTGGTGCAGGAACGGGGGCCAGATTGAGGGGTGCAACTCTGACCCCTTCCCCCCACCCCCAGCCTCCCATCAGTGTTTCACCTCTCAGGGGTCCATGGATTCCAGGGGCTGTGACTGAGGTATTCGTTCCCAGCCCTGGCTTTGCTTTGTTGCAGTTGCTGGGGGCTGCTCCCGCCTTCCCTCCCTAATTCTCTTTCTGTTCTTCTCCCTCCTCTCTTCTCTCCTTATCCTTCTCCAGTTCCACCTTGTACCCTGATCCTTTCTCTCTTTCCCTTGCCCATTGCTGCATTTCTCCTGTTTGGCTGTTCCCCTTTTTTCCACCATCTGGTGTTCTCCCTCCTCCCTCCTTCCTTTCCACTCCTCACATCAGTCTCTTCCCCTGTGTTCTCCCCACTCCCTCTCCTGAGCCCGCTCTGCCTGGAGCCCATTCTCTGGGAGTGGGGACAAGGACTTTCCTAGTGTCCCAGGTGGGGGTGGGATGGGTAGGAGGCTCAGGTGGGAACCCCGCTCTCTGGGATGAGCAATGTGGTGTTGTCGTCCTTTGGGTTCCTGAGGTATTTTCACTTTCCAGTGGACATTTTGTGCTATGTGGTTGTTACAGCCAGAAGCCTTCCCTTCACTCTCTGTCACCCTGTCACACTCTTCATTGCTACCAGCACCAACATCCCCATCCCCCTCCTGCACCCCCAGCCTTGAGCTGGGACCCCCAGATCCCACCCAGACATGGAGATCACAGGATGTGGGGTTTCTTACACTGTTTTCAAAGACCAGTCAGACTCCATTTCCTGAATTGTTTTTTTTCTGCCCCTCCCCACACTCACAAGGGAGGCACTGAAACAAGAAACAAAAAAATCAACTCCCCACAGCAACACACACACTGACAACTCATTTGGGGAGGAGTTTGGAGGCAAGTGGGCCAGCTCCTCAGCTCAGCACAACAGGGCTCTGATCTCAGCTGGGGCAGGGCCTGTCTCTCCTTGTGTGTCTATGTAGCGCCCGGCACAACGGGGCCCTGATCTCAGCTGGGGCAGGGCCCGTCTCTCGCTGTGTGTCTGTGCAGCGCCCGGCACAATGGGGCCCTGATCTCAGCTGGGGCAGGGACTGTCTCTCCCTCTGTGTCTGTGCAGCGCCCGGCACAACGGGGCCCTGATCTCAGCTGAGGCCTTTATGCACAGCCATAATACACAATGACTCATGATAATAATAACAGAGAACGGGACACACAGAAGAACAGTCCAGCAGCTTACCAGTGCATACCCTTCGGTGGCTTATTGCTATATTTGTCACCTAACCACACTACCTCTCACATCTTGGCAAATAAGGTCCAATACACAAAGTGTCTCCCATTTTCTTTATTGACCTAAGTTAATAATGCCAGTTTGTGAATTGTTTGTGCAGTGGCTTGATCAAGGGTTTTCAACCTTTTCCACATCAGAAGTGACTTCTCATTTAACAATACAGGAAAGGAGGCGTGATTACAGCCCTTTGTAACAGCCAGTTTGCAACATCCAGGTTGAGAACCTTGATAGGAGAGGTATTGCTTCGAGAGGAAGGGAAGAACATAGTGTTTTCTTGAGTTTTTGTAGTTGGTCATATTTAAAAATATATTAATATTCAGAAAATTAACTTTTATGTTACTTGAAGGACCTAATTTGGACACTTTGGAACATTAGTTGAGACCTGAGCTGGTCAGAATATAGGGCAGGGGTTTTGTGTAGAAAACTTCAAATTTTTGGCTCAAACTGAAATATTTTGATTTAGAAACGCTGCTATGATGCCTCATGGGAGATGTAGTTCTGTTTCCTCATGCTCCCATTCCTCTTTACATGCCAAGCCTCTTGGTCAGACTACGTCTCCTACAATGCACTGCAGCCTCCCATCTAGGAAAGGGGATATGCCGCATCATGGCAACCCCTGACATTGATGCATCATGGGAGATGTAGTCTGGCTGGCAAGCCCAGCTCAGAGAAGAGGAAATAATGAAGAGGACAGGTCACTGATTCAGAGCCATCTGGATTGCTTGGTAAACTGGGTGCAAGCAGACAATATGCATTTTAATACAGCGAAATGTCAATGTATACCTCTAGGAACAAAGAATATAGGCCTTGCTTACATCATGGGGGACTCTATCCTGGGAAGCAGTGACTCTGAAAAAGATTTGGGGGTCATGGTGGATAATCAGCAGAACATGAGCTCCCAGTGTGACACTGTGGCTCAAAAGAGCTGACATGATCCTGGGATGCATAAATAGTGGAATTTCAACTAGGAGCAGAGAGGTTATTTTACCTCTATATTTGGCACAGCTGTGACTCTTATTAGAATCCTGTGTCCAATTCTGGTACCCATAATTCAAGAAGGATGTTTATAAATTGGAGAGGGATCAGAGAAAAGCCACGAGATTGATTAAAGGATTAGAAAACTTGCCTCATAGTGATAGACTTAAAGAGCTCAAATGATTTAGCTTAACAAAGAGAAGGTGAAGGGGTGACTTGATTATAGGCTATAAGTGTCTACATGGCGAACAAATATTTAATAATTGATCTTCAATCTAGCAGAGAAAGGTAGAACATGATCCAATGGCTGGAAGTTGAAGCTAGACAAATTCAGACTGGAAATAAGGTGTAATTTGTAATGGTGACGTTAACGACCCATTGGAATAATTTCCAAGGGTTGTGACGGATTCTCCATAACTGACCATTTTTAAATCAAAATTGGATGTATTTCTAAAAGATCTACTCTAGGACTGATTTTGGGGCAGTTCTCTGGCCTGTGTTAGCCAGGAGGTCAGACAAGATGATCACAGTGGTCCCTTTTGGCCTCAGAACCTATACATCCAGGGGAACTGCATCTCCCATGATGCACCCGTCTCCCCTCTGTCCACGATGCATCATAGGAGATGTAGTCCAGGTTGGGTGCTTGGTCCACAGAAGAGATTGGGGGCATGAGAAAACAAAACTACAACTCCCATGATGCACCATGATGGCATTCCCAAATCAAAATATTTTGATTTTCAGGTGTTTGTTTTTTAACAAAATATCAAAAATTTCCCAACCCAATTTTCCATCGAAACTCAAGTGGGTCGACAGTGGTTGACATCTCCAGTTCAGAAAGCAAAGTGACGAATAATGTGAGAGTAAAACCTATCGACAGTGGTTTTCATCACTCTCCCTCATTCAGAAGGGCTTGCACTGTCTTTTGCCTTGGTTTTGTGCATCAGGCTGGCCTGCTGCAGACCCAGCGTCTCCCTGTGCTGCATCTTGAGCTGCTGATACCTTGTTCGTTATTCAGATACGCGCATTCACCTCCTCCCCTTATTGGAAACCTGCAACACAAAGGCCATGGGATTTAAAAACAAAACAAACACCACCACTGGAGTCAGTGGGACAGATTCCCAGCTGGCGTAAGTCGTATAGCACCTCTTAAGTTGAAGAAGTCAATGGAGCTACTCCAACGCACACCAGCTGAGAATATCTCCCTGCACATTAGTCACCTTAGACCAAAATGATAGAAAGGGAATGCAAAGAAAGGGACTTACAGGTTGTTGAAAGGGGTGCCATTTACCCATTTCCAGGTCTGCTTGTCTGCTTCTTCCCTGGTAAGGCCAATCCAGGTTTCTAAGAGTCCCTTATAGTGCAACATAAAATCCTTATAAAAAATAAACGTGAAAATGAAAATTGTGCCTTACATATTACTGAGAAGTTAATAGAGGAGATACAATAAAGACACAAGTGTCTGCGTCACATTCTACACATGCAACTAGTTTACAAGACCACCAGCCTATGCAATAACACAGTGGTTCTCAACCAGGGGCCAACGGACCCTGGCGGGGGGCTGCAAGCATGTTTCAGGGGATCCTCCACACATGGCCGGCATTAGACTCGCTAGGGCCCAGGGCAGAAAGCCAAAGCCCCATCACGCGGGACTGCAGCCCGGGTCCCCGAACCCCACCCCCCCGCCGCTGGAGTCTAAGCAACTTAGCTTTGCAATGCCCCCTAACACCAGCCCTGGCTTTTATATGCAGAAAAACAGCTGTTGTGACACAGCTGGGCCATGGAGTTTTTAGAACATGTTGGGGGAGCCTCAGAAAGAAAAAGGTTGAGAACCCCTACAAAAACATATATCAAAGAATGAAAAACAATCCAACAGCTTTTTTTATACTTGGAACTTATGACCACGTGAACAATTTTAACATGCCAATTATCCCCAGATGTACTCATTGAAAAATATACATTTAGGCCCTGATCCCACAAGGGATTAAATGAGTCAACAAATTGAAATGAGTCAACAGTGTGATGCTGTGGGCAAAAAACTCTAATATCATTCTGGGGTGTATTAACAGGAGTGTTGTGTGTAAGAAACAGGAGGTCATTGTCCTGCTTTACTGGGCCCTGGTGAGGCCTCAGCTGGAGCACGGTGTCCAATTCTGGGCACCACGCTTTAGGAAAGATTTGGACAAATTGGGGAGAGTCTAGCGGAGAGCAGCAGAAATGATCACAGAGGGTTAGAAAACATGACATACGAGGAAAGCTTCAAAGAACTGGGAATGTTTAGTCTTGAGAAGAGAAACCTGAGGTGACATGACAGCAGTTTTCAAATATGTAAAAGGTTGTCATCAAGAGGACAGCGATCAGTTGTTCTCCAAGTCCACCCAGAGTAGAACAAAGCTTAGTTTGCATCAAGGGAGACTGAGGCTGGATATCAGGGCAAGCTTTCTAACTCTAAGGGGAGTTAAGCACTAGAACAGGTTACGAAGGGAGACTGTGGAACCACCGTCATTGGAGGTTTTTAAGAACAGGTCAGACAAACACCTGTCAGCAGTGGTCTAGACATAGAGTCATAGAATCGTAGGACTGGAAGGGACCTCGAGAGGTCATCTAGTCCAGTCCCCTGCACTCATGGCAGGGCTAAGTATGATCTAGACCATCCCTGACAGGTGAAGTCCTGGGTCAGCACAGGTGATGGAGTAGAGCAGGGGTTCTCAAACTGGGGGCTGGGTCCCCTCAGGGGGTCGTGAGGTTATTATATGGGGGGGTCTTGAGCTGTCAGCCTCCACCCCAAACCCCGTTTTGCCTCCAGCATTTATAATGGTGTTAAATATATAAACAAGTGTTTTTAATTTATAAGGGGGGTTGCACTCAGAGACTTGCTGTGTGAAAGGGGTCACCAGTGAGAACCACTGGACTAGAGCTTCTTGATGTCTCTTCCAAGCCCTAAATTTCTATGATTTTGGGATGCATGAATTTTGGGGTACCCATCTGTAGGCACCTGCAAGCAGTCTGATTTCAACAAAGCACCAAACAACTCAGCCTGTGAAAACAGGCGCATTTAACAAGCCCCAAGTTGGGCACTCAAGTCATTTTGAAGCCTTTAGCCTATATAGTGTGTAAAGTTAAACGCTTTGGGTCGAATTTTCGAAAGCACACACGTAACTTCACTGAGGCTCCGTGTCAGGAACCAGGGCCTGCAGCGGAACCAGGGCCTGCAGCGGAACCAGTCTCTGGGCAACCTAACAAGCGCAGCTGGCTTGGTAGCAGACTGTCTGATTGACCACGCTGCTCGATTGGTTGGAAGAGTCAGGAGACTAGCTCTTAAGCCCAGCAGCAGTTCAATGGCTGCTCAAAGTATTTGCCCATGGCTGAGATAAACTCCTGCCTTGTTCCAACCCTGCTCCGGCCTTGTCTCACTCTAAGTAATCCAGTTCTGGGCCTTGATTCTGGTGCTTGCCCTGTGGCTCTGGCTTTGACCCTGGGCTGTGATTCCTGCCTGCTGACTCCTGTTCTAACCACTGGGCATAACTGCCCATGCCCCAGTCTTGGACATTAGGCTCCTTAGTGCCTCAGACACTTTTGAAAATGGGACTCAGGTGTTTTTGAACATTTTTTTTGACCCTTTGAAAATCAGCTCACTTATTTAGGAACCTAAATAAGGATTTAGGAGTCCAACTCTAAACTCCTATTTCTGAAAATTACAGTCAGTGAGAACAGAGCTGGGCAAGAAATGTGTTTCCTCTCCCATGAATATTTTTAAGAGTTCAAAATATTTTTTCACATATTGAATAGGGATGAAAAGTCAAAATCTTGAAAATATTTTTTTGTTTGAGAGCAATTGAGGTGTTTTGTTTTTGACCATTTGTTCTCCTTTTAACCCTTTTCCCCCCAGTCAAATTCGATTATGTTTTGAAATGAAAAGTCACTTTGACCCAGAAACTGGAAATGTTCCATTTAAAAAATGTTCAAACAAAATATTTCAACAATTTCAAAACTATTTTCTCAAGTTCTGAGATTTTTGTTGTTGACAGTTTGGGGTTTCATGACTCAGTCCTTTCAAATGAAAAAATGATTAGTCAAAAATTCCCCAGGCAGTTCTAAATGGGAGTGGCTGGGTTTTTATTGGTTTTAAAAATCAGGCCACTTTAGGCTCCTATTTTTGAAAATCTTGGCTTAAAATTTCTTGGCTGGTCAGCAGTAGGCTAATGTAAGCGAAAGCCTTCCCCAAGCTATACCACAGGCGTGACTGCTCCTAGAATTCCTCCTTCTGGATACTCAGCCCTCAATCTAGATCCTCTCTTAAGAAAACCACTCTCACTTCACTTATTTGTGGGATGGGTTAACGATCAGAGAGTCAGCATAATCCATATACAGTAGAATCTCCACACCCCTCATTTGGAACCGGAAGTACACAATCAGGCAGCAGCAGAGACCAAAAATAAAAAAGCAAATACAGAACAGTGCTGTGTTAAACGTAAACTACTGAAAATATAAAGGGAAAGTTTAAAAAAGAAGATTTGACAAGGTAAATCTGGGCTTCTTTTATTTAAATGCAGATCATAGAATCTCAGGGTTGGAAGGGACCTCAGGAGATCATCTAGTCCAACCCCCTGCTCAAAGCAGGACTAATCCCCAGACAGATTTTTGCCCCAGATCCTTAAATGGCCCCCTCAAGGATTGAACTCACAACCCCAGGGTTTAGTAGGCCAATGCTCAAACCACTGAGAAATCCCTCCCCCAGATGGTAAAAAGCAGCCCTTTTCTTCTGCATAGTAAACTTCCAAAGCAGGGTTAAGTTGATGTTCACTTGCAAACTTTTGAAAGAACAACCATAACGTTTTGTTCAGAGTGATGAACATTTCAGAGTGACGAACCACCTCCAGTCCCAAG